ACAGAAAGAATTTTAATGAAAAACTAGATAATATAATGTAAAAATTATTATAGATAATACTTATTATACATATAAATAATAATTCGTTTTAAATGATTATTAAACAAATAATAACATAATAATTTAATAACAATTTAATTCAAAATATAATAAATTTCAATATTTTTAGAAAATTGTTGCAAGAGTATTTGATATAGCAAATTTTTATTATTCGAAATTAAATTATATGTGAAAACAGAGACAATTGTATTTATAACATATTTATAAACAACATAAATTCACAATAATTATGTTAAAATTATTTTAAAATATCATATATCACCAATAATATAAAAAACAAAAGAAAATATGAACGGAAAAATTAAAACAAAACAGAAATCAAAAATGTCATAAATATCTGATTTAACATCTTGGTTAATGAAAAAAATGCAAATACATGATTTTAAAGAGAAAAAATTCAGAGTTTTTTTTTATTCGAAAAGTAGATCTTTTTTAATAAAACTTACATTCTAATTCTTGAATAATGATGATATACTTACATATCAAAGACTGATAATATATATTATCTTTCATTCATCAATTTTCTTTATTAAAATAAATTTCTTTATTTAAAATAAAGAAAAATATTAAAAAGATAAATCTTGTTTAATATAATAATTATTCAATTAAATAATTACGTGAAATAAAAAAAAATAAAAAATTCAATTAATTTATAAAATTTATAATTATGTATCATATATTTAATTATAAAAATATTATTTTTAATTTAATCAATCTGTCGATATATTCATTGATTATAATGAGTTTGAAATATATTTATAAAGAGGCATTATTTTAAGCAACTTTCCCATATTTTTTATGATATATTACAAAATTAACATCGTGAAAAGTAAATGTATCGATAGAAGTTTTCATTCTTTTATCTTTAAAAATAATATGAAAAATTTATTTTCAAATATATTGTTAGAATGTAGAAAAAGATCAATACAATGATTTATGTATTTTATTTAATATATGGATTACAATAATTCTATAAAAAAAATTTTAATAAATTGATTATTAATTAACTTTTCAACTTTTTATAATATAGTATTAAATATATATATATATATATATATATATATATATATAAGTGCTAAGAAAAAGAGATGTGGATAACTGTCCTGTGTAAACATAATTAAATTAATTAAATTAATCTATAAATAGTGGATGGATTAATAATAAGTATACATAAGGATAAATAAGTATATATATAATGATTCAAATAAAAATCAGCACAAAATCATCAATTGCCTTTAACGAACAACATTTATAATAAAATCCATAAATCTTATTATGTCTACTTCAACAGACCAATATACTCTAGTGTAACACATAAAAGGATTTCATGATAAATATGTAGTAAAAACAAGTTCTTTGAAGAATGTCCTCAAGAAATGTCTCCTAAAAAAACAGATAGAAATAAACGAGCTAAAAATATTGATATATCTTTAGCTATAATCAAGTACGAAATGTTTCTTCGCTATTGTTTATCGTAGATTTTTTTCAGGATACATGCTTTTCATTAACCAACAAATTAAAATAAAAAGAAAAATTCGATGAAAATATTATTATGATAAATAAAGAAAAAACGATAAAAGTTTCCTTTGATAATACATAAATCTTAAAAAAAAAAAATTTTTGAAAAAAAAAATATTCATTAAACGATATCATATCGATACAACATGATTAAAATATATTTTCAAACTTTAAATGATATTTTTATGATAATCAATGTTATTCTTTGCAAAATAGAAAAATAGAAAACAAATACAAAATAGAAAAATGAAAAAACCGATATAAAATCATTCTAAATTGTTATTTACTGAAAATCTCAGTATATTATATTATATTATTTTCAAATAATTATTTATATTTAAAAAAATATTAAGGAATTTTTTTATAATAAAAATTATGAAAAAAAGCATATCTAAATAATTTCAAATTTAAAAAAAAATACACATATACATATAGAGTATTTTATGTTATTGGACCGTAATTCTAAAATACTATATACTATATAGTTCTAAAATACTATAAGATAAAGTAAATTTTCATGGAACAAAAGTAAATGATTTTGAGCGATGTATCACTTAGTGCTTAATTATATGAAATGGAAAATATTGGTTTCCTAAATTTCAAAGTTACTCTGTTTTTTTAAATAAAATTATAAAAAAGAGAAAAAAGATTAATAGATTGATATAAAAAAATAGTAATAATACATTAATTATAATTAAAAATATATTTAAAAATTGATAAGAAATATTTAAATTTGTTAACATACCAAGTTGATACATAGGACCTCTTTGAAACTATGGATAGATTTTAGAGATTTTAGAGATAAATATATACAAAAATATAAAAATATCGATTAAGATTTATTTCTTAAGTTATAATAAGGAAAAACGAAACAAAAGTAAATGAAGAAAGCTCGTTTTCTTTTAACAAAAACTTGCTTGTAATTTCATAAATTCAACCAACATTTTTGTATATCAATTTTTCTGGCTTAAATTTGTATATCAATTTGTTTTGGCCTAAAATCAATCTCTAAAAATACGAATATCTTATATACACAATAATTCATGATGATACAATTAGATATAAGGATTTAATTCTACGGAAAAAAATAAAAAATTTCACTCGATATTTCATTTTCGAAAAATGATTTTTTAATTTTTTAAATTTTTTAAAAATCAATTTTAAAATTTTACTTAATATTATACAATAAATATTATACAAAAAAAAAGCTTTGAGTTCATGAATCTTATTTCCCAACTATAAACTATATTACTATTAATGTTTATGTTTATAAATTAATATTACGAAATGCGTAATTTTGCAATAGAAGTTACACTTCTAAATTTCTCGAATGTCTATTTATGTCTAATTTATCGTTATAATAACAAATAATAATATTTATTATTATTAATTATTAAGTACTGTGATATGATTTTCATGTATAATGCATATTATATATAATGGCGGAAATGTATCAAGAAAGAGCACATTATATATAAAGAAAATGCTTTTTTCAAAATATTTTGTTAGTGATTATCTAGAGCAAATTAATGTGAACAAACAAGAACACATACTAGAAAACGTAATAAACCATAATGAAACAAATTTAAAGAATTTTACAATTAATTTATTACAAACATTGTATAAGAATGGAATGTATTTTTATCATAGTTATTAAAATTGAAGCATTTAAATAAAGATTACTTTTCATGAAAGACATTTTGTTATTGCTTAAACTTATTAATGATGCAAAATTTTTATAAAAAAAATTTATGAATCAATGAAACTAAAGTGAGATGGTATATTAAATATTCATAATGTATATAGATGATGGAATTCTAAAAATCCTCATTTTAAAAAATATTCAAGTAAGATTTTGAATGTTTGGATAGACATAATTGATAATTATAGTTCTTTTTTTTTATAAAAAATGTTATATTTATAGTATATTTAATATATTTATATAGTATTTGAATTTCTCTTCTAAAACAAATTATTCAAATTATTAAACCATATATCACTTAGTATAAGAAGTAAAATATTACATCAAAATAATGGTCCATTTCAATCGTCAGATCAGAAAGTTTTTTAAATAAACACTTTTAAATACTTGCATTTGAATTGATTGTGGCAATATTGATCTATTATCTTTTGATTTCTTTTCTATTTTTAAATATATATATATATTTTATATATATGAAATCCTTTCTATTTTTATATATTTTATATTTTTATATAAAATCATATTAAATCAATTGTATATGAAGATGAAACCACAAACCAATGATCAATTAAAAGAAAAAATTTTTGTATTTATTGTACAATGAAGCACCAAAATATGGTATAAATATTTATAGAAATTTAATAAAAAAAAAACAATAGTTGAACTGCGCTCAACATGAAACAGTTTTAATTTTAAACAGTTTAATTTTAATAATTTATTATTATTTTTAAAATTGTTTTGAAAACAATTTTGAAAATAATAAAAAAAATTTTTTAATTTTTGCATCATGATAGTCGATATTTCTCATTATATTAATATACTGCTATATTACTAATGATATTATTAATAGTATAATGGTATTAATATTTATAAACACAAGCATTCACAGCAATACAATTTACTAAAAAATAATGTTCGTAAAATCAAATTTTACTTATGTCTTATTTAATTATATTATACTAGATAAAACTTTAAAGTTGATTTTATTCTTTTTTTTTTTCGATTTGTTTTTTCTTATAGAATCGTTCTCGATTGTACAAAACATCATTTACAAACCACTTTGTATATCTTTCAATTGAATGTTAAAATTGATTATATCAATAATAAGTTACAAATATAAGAAGAATAATAAATCGAAATTAGAAAAAATCGTTTAAAATTTAGTTTTATTATTTAAATGGATTCAAATAGATAAAAACATTACTTGATCAAAATAACTACATAATTAATTATTTTATAATTTTTCTTGTATTATAATTTAATAGATTTTGTTTTGAAAATAATTTAATTATAATTTAATTTAATAACTTTTAATTATAGTTATTAGTATATATTAATTATAGTAATAAACTATATATATAAAATTTTTAAGATAACATTAAAAACAATATATAATTAAATATAGAAGATATAATAAATAAATAAATAAATATTAAAATATAAATAATTTTGAATGATAAATAATTTAATAATCAAAAAATGCTATATTTATTTTATAATAGATTATATTCATTGCAAGATTTATATACTGCTAAATAAATAATATTCTTGCTAAAATATAATAAATAATGATATAAAAATAAAATAAAATAAAATAAAAAATTAAACATTATTTTATATTGAAAATTTAAAAGATTTTAATTAATTTTTTTTTATCTATTTTCTCTTGCATGATTGATGATGTATGAATAGAAATGGAAAATATTAAGAAAAAAATATATACTATACAGAGAGTACTTATATTTTCATAATTACAGTTATTACAGATCTATTCTATGAATGAAGATATAAATATCGGCAAAGTACTATTATAATTATTTAAAGAACATGAATTTTTAAGTAGAAAACCGCATTTCCAGCAAATAAATTTATTCCATAGATTACATTACAAAATATTACACCTTATTTTTCACGCTGGAACGCTGTTACGATAAATTATTCTTATCCATATATCAATTTCGATTAAAATAGAGGTGCCTCAGTACTTCGCGCATTTTTTTCTTTTTCTACAATGCATATAAATTTCTTTCCCCTACATTGCAAATAGGCGGAAAACTATTATCTCTTGCCGGAATTTCATTTCGTTTCACTAATTATATCTCTATAAATTCTTTGTTGTTTGTTCTCGATACGTAAAAACAGATACGAACACAATATGTAACAATGAGAAAAATATGATCTTATTATAAATATGATCGTAATAAAAATTATAGATGAATATCGCATTTCATGTGAATAAACATTTGAATTAAAAATGTCTAAAATTCAAATGCTTCCTCATATGTAATATTACAAAATATTAATTTAGAAAGAGTAAGATCATTTTAGCTGTTTCAAAGTAAAGTCTACCTTACAGATGCAACAAAATAAACTTGTTTATAGAAACTTTTGATTTCTGTAACAGCCTTTTTTTTATTTCTTGTTAACTGTTACTCATATAGCATTATTATAAGGTATGTCAAATATTTATAACGTATGTATAGTGATACTTCGCATTGCTTTTGCAATTTGTATTACTTAACTTGTCAATTAGAACTGTTAGTTGTATGAAATAGCTGTAAAAAAAAAAGGAAAAAGACAATTTTATATTTTTTTTGTGATGCAGTTTAATTCATGTGGATTCACACTAGAAAATTACCTTGTAACTTTAAGCCTCAGGCGTAGCTAAGGGAGCTTCTTTCATTTCATTGATTGTAATAGCTTCTTTTTTATCACCAGCTGCTTTATCATTTTCATCCACTTCCTTTTTTGGAGCAACCTTAAATGTATTATATACATTCAACGAGATTACTAAAAACTCCAACAGAAAACAAGCTTATAATCTTTTTTAGCTAAAATGATCTTACAAATAGAATGGTACAAATGTTAATAAAAAAAATCTATAGAAACATTGTTAATGAAAGATTTGGTTGTATTTTCACATTTTTTAATTGTTACATGTTCTTAAAAAAAAAACAAATTAAATTATTATGCTGCATATACATTATTTTTATGCTACGTATATATTATATTCTATATTCTGTATCTACATATAAGTCATGTGTTATACAACTGCAATGTTTTATGAATTGTTAATAATAATTGTAGAATAACACTTATACAACTTATATGCAATATCTTTAAAAAACTACAAGATATTAAAAATAAGTTTAATAAATGTTAATAATACAAACTAATTCCTATATTACAATTAAAGTTTACGATGAAATTATATATATATATATATATATATATATATATATAATATATAATATACATTACATATATATTATATAATATATATATATATGTTTTTATAACCTATTGAAAACAATTATAATCACAAAAAGAAAAAGTTATATTTCTAATGATAATACACATGCATTATATTAATTCTTTCTCCTGTAGTTTTTCTATACATAATATATAAAATTTAAATTATTATTCATATAACAATTACTGTTATTTAGGCTGATTCATTACCTCCTCTTTACTAGCTTCATCAAAATTCTCCACTAAATCTGGCACTTCATCATCCTCTTCCAATGTTGATTTACCAACTGTACTTCCAGAAACTGTACTTGCTAGTCGTTTCAACTGTGTAACACCTTCAGGACCTAATTGACTTATTATTCCCGGTAACATATCAGTAATTTGTTTATTTTCGCCATGACCAGTAATGGCAAATGTGTTAGCAGATAAACTAGCTTGAGCTTTTGGATTATTAAAATGAATGACAGTACCATCATCTTTAATCATATTAACCTCTTCTATACCAGGAATTGTATTCACAGATAATTTTTTTAAACAACTTTGTAATTTTTTATCATCTGTAGCAGCAGTAGCATGTACAACCTAAAAATATATTAAATAAAACTAATTATTAATTAATAATATTACAAGTAAATATATTGTTCATCTAAAAAAATTTCATTGAATAAGAAAAAAATAAAATAAATAAAATAATTTAAATAAAATCTATTTCTATTTAATTTTTATATATTATAATATTAATAAACTTAAATAATCTAAGTTTAATATAGTTTAAGTTAGATATAAAAATTTTAATATAAGAAGTTAGTTCTTAAGTTTGATAAGAAAAATGTATTTGATGTAAAATCAAATTCTAACTTATATTTAATACATAAAAAAGCAACATAATTAAATATTGTTTGACATATTAAAAATAAAAGACAAAACCCACAAAAACAGCAATATAATAATAAACACATGAAAATAATTTATTCGAACAATTGAAATATGTGTTACACAGATTATAAAACTTTGATATTGTAAAATAGTAATTAGTGATCGTGAATCAAGCAACACTTTTCAAAAGTAGATAAATCATAAATTTGTTCAAATGACACTTGAATATATACACATTCATAAACTTTCAAACTCACGACACACCAACAGTCTTGAAAATTGTAAACTTATATTAATTTTTGAAATAAACCTATATACCTTCTTCTTGCGTCGGGGTGTTCCCTTACCGCCGATTCGTACTTGAGCTTGAAGCTTCTTCAATTTTTCGGGATTCATATTAACCTATCTATATAATGATCAGAATTTTTCAACCCTTAGTCACCAAACTTGGACAGGCAGCAAATGTGATGCAAAGTTTTGTACGATAAAATGAGTTGAACGCAACCGGCGAGCAAACACGTGCTCTCTATTCGCCGAAAGGGTCGAGAAAATGGAAGTGTACGCTTCTTTAGCTCTCTACGTCAGAGATAGCTTCCGGCAGGGCAATGCTTCCGTTTGAAACTTAACTCAAAACACTACACCAATTAATTGTGAATAATATTGTTCATACATAAAATAGATACAAGTTGATTCTATAAATCATAATTTCTTACAAAACATTTTGTTAAATCAAAGATTCATTTTACCTACAAATTACTATTTTATACAATAGTTCATCTGAACATGGAGGTTATGGAGACCATCATATTATAACATACGACTTTGAAGAAAAAAAATTAATAAATACTTTTATAATTTGAAAATGTTATATTATGAAATATAAAAAATATCTTTATCAACTTCATTAACAAGAATAAATTCTTTAATAAGTATAATAATAAAAAATTGTTCAAGTTATCTGAAAATTAATTAAATTTGCTGTAAAATAGGGCGCGAATATGAAATTTAAAATTAAAAATAATAATTATATTTGAAATAATAATTACATATATTTTTAAATTAATTGAAAATTAATTTCTGTTTTGTGAATAAGATTAATATTTGTTTTATAAATATTGTGAATAAGATTAGAGTTCATAATAAATTAACTATTTATGTATATTTTTTTATATTTCTTTTATATATATTTCTTTACATATAATTAATTGAAATTTCATTTATTATTAAAATATTTTTAAATTATAAAATTTCTGATAATTATTCAAAAAGAAAAGATGATTATAATACATTTCAAAATAATACATTACAAAAGATTCAAAATAACACAATAATATATGTAATTATGATAATTGAGCTTTTTGTTTTATAATCATATAAATTAAACTGCATTATATAAATACTTCAAAAAACTTTACAAATTTTAAAAGAATATTAATAAAAAAAATTACAATTAAAATATTGTACATTTTATATAATTTATTTTAAGATACAGAAAACAAAATTTTATTAAATAATATAAATATATTTTAGTTCTTATAATAGCATTCAATTTAAAGTATTATATATTTACAATATATTACATTGTTATAAATTAATAATTTAACACATCTGTTAATAATATTATTTTAATACAATTTGTTATATATTCAATTATAATAAATTAATTAACAAATATATAGTATCATTAATTTATTTATTGAACAGAAAATACTAATATTGCCAGATGATATATATTACTTTTCATAAAAATATAAATTATTTATTTCAGAAATCTTTATTTTTCTTTAATTTTCATCTTTATAAAAGGATGCAATATATATATATGTATATATATATTTATATGTATGTATATATTTATATATATGTATACACACATAAAATTGGATCAGTCTTCAATTCTTTAAAATAAATTTAGATACTAGTCCAAACAAAATACTTCTTTTAATTTAAATATTATAATCTACTTTATATAAAATTTATTTATATTTTCATTAACTTGTTAATAAATTAATAAGAATTTCATATATACAGTTAATCTTTATTCACTCTACACAAATTCAATCAAATTTGTGTTATCAAAATCAACAATAATTTTGTTTTATATGAAATATCATGAATATAATATGAAACTATTTTTTTATCATGGAATATCATTTCAAAGCAATGAAATCAATTTCTGAAGTTTCAATATTATTTTTGTTTCTTTAAATAATTTCATCTCATAATAATTCAAGATAAAACAAAATTTTAAATTATAAAATGTTTAATGCTCTATTATCAAATAGTAAAAAATATTTCCAGAAGAAATTGTGTAACGAAAAAAGAGTTGATTTCATATATTCAAAGAAATTTTTTATCGAAAAATAAATTATTCTATATATAACCCATTGTTTTATATAAGTTTTCGTTAAAATCAAATTTTTCATAATAATTGAATTTCTTTATAAGATAGTATATAAAAATTCTTACGACTGATTATATATTAAATTACAAATAAGACCTCAATTAATCAAACTAATAATAGTAATATCAATAGTCTATGTATATAATATAGTTTTAAATAATTGAATAATTTATATTATTGCGTTTCATGTGAAATATGACAGTTTTACTATATATTACTCATTATTACATATATTTGTTTCAATCAATTTTTTTAGTCTTTTAATCTCTTTTCCTTCTAAGCTATCAAACTATTTTTCAAATTATTAGTTCTATATTACTTTTTTTCTTTTAAACTTCATTAATATTTAAAGATTATTACTCTTATTATGAATGCTTCTATATGCATAGGAATACTATTTATGAAAACATCATCAGATTTATTTTTATTTTCATTCATAAATTTATCTTTAATTTTTTTTTATTTATTTGTTCAATTACATCATTTATTATATCATTTTCTATAATATTAATATCAATATCGATCTATATAACCTATCATTGAAATATATTAAAATATATTAGATATGTATTTGATTTTTTTTATCACTAATATTATGCAAATAATTAAATTTTCGGATAATAGGTATTCAAACAATCAGATAAAAAGATAATAAGATTCGAATAATGGAGGTCTTACTGCATTTAATACTTACAAAATATGCTAAATTATTCATGAAATTATATTTGTTTTGTCTTTTGGTAAAACTTTCTCAAAAGATATCTTAACTTATTTAATCAATAATAAATGACAGGAAAATGAAAATCTGGTAATGTAAATATAAATATTACAATATGAAATTTAATAGTTTTTTAATAGTGCTATTTTTCTCCATCTATGACTTGTTTCATTTTTTACATGACCAAATTCGAATCTAATTCTGAGCTCACCAATTTTTGATATTGGCAAAATATCTGGTATCCATTCTATTAAAAATGGCGTTGGTTCAACTTGATTCGGAGAAGTATTTCCTGAAATAAAATAAAATTTTGTATATCTTTATTTAATTTTTGTTATATATATATATATTAATTTATACTGTATTATTAAATTTAAGTATTTCTTACCAACTTTTAAATATGTTTTTAATTCTAAAGGTTTAATTAATGCATTATTATTAGTTTTTTTATATCGATCTATTTCTGTTTCCTCTCTTTTATACAATTCATATGTACCATCTGCATTTTGCACAAAACTTCTCGTAATTTCCAAAGGTATAAGAGGCGTTTCGAAAATACTTTTAACGTGTAAAATGTTAGTAATTTGCCATGTGTATTTAGTAAAAGTACCTAATGGTACACCGTCTTTTCGAACAAATGCCGTTGTTGAATTTGGCAAACGTTTTTTTTTACCTCCACAAGATATTCTCTCTCGTAAACAATCAAAAAATATTTGTGGTACATGAAATACTAAAGGATCTGGTTTTCCATCAAATTGAAAATGCATAGTTTGATTTATTCTTTCTGTTATTGATGCAAGCCATTTAATGAAAGGTAAATTTATATTTGTTTCATCCAAATCTTCACAAGGATTTTGATATTTCTTAACAATATGTAACTTTGTTTTAGCTTTCCTTGGTTCTATTGAATTTAAATTATTCAAACTTGTGATATTTGTGCTTGTTGGTTTATCATCTCTTTTTCGTTTTGTCGAAATTGGTTGTTGTATGTTATTACTTTCTGTATTTGATATACTTCCAGTATCATATTGTATTAATATGTTTTTATCTATTATTTTTACATTATTTGTATTTGAAACAGTATTAGCATCAATTAATTTCATGTTATTCACATCTAAAATTGCATTTGTATCAAGAATTTTTAAAGTTCCAGTATTTACTATCTTTATATTATTATCATTTAATATATATTGACTATTATTAAGCACATTGTATTTAGAATCTATATTTGTTTGATCATCTATCATCTTAACTGTGTCTTCACCAAGTTGCACATTATCTTGATTAATTACTTCTAAATTATTCACCTATATTTTAAAAAATTTATTATTAATTTATTATTTTAATAAAAGATTTAAATAAATAAATATTTTTTACCTGGGATATCATATTATCTTCCAATAAGGTACGATCACATTCTACTTCAATATTTTCAACAATACTATGTGGTAAAATTGTAGATTCTAAATTCATTGAATCCAAATCTAATCTATTTCCATCTAAGCTTTGAACTGTTAAAGTATCATCTCGAAATATTAAAAGATGTGTATCTGTATCATCTGTAGTTAGACTATCAAGATCTAAAATTTTAATTTAAAATGAATATTTCATAAAAAATTAATATGAATCCTCTTACCAATGCCTACTATTTTATCTTGTTCATCATTATGTAATACTGTCGTTAATGGTTTTGATATATTTAAATCATTTTGATCTAAATTAATATAATAACTAAATTCTTCTGACAATTTTGTATCACTAGCAAATGCACAAATACAAGCATAAAAATGTACGCAACGTTTATTTTGAGAAGATTGTGCTATATCTGGTTTATCTCCTGCTGTTTTTCCTATACCCTAAATTAATTTTTAACGTTGTAAATAATATTTTTAATTATAAATAAATTTTGTTTTTTTATTAATGCTTACTTTAAATGTAGAACAAGAACAAAAATAACGATGTTCAATTCTGTCTTTTAATTTTGTAACAAAAAGAGAAAAATGAAGGTAACCTAATGGATGTTTAGGTGAAGCCTTGCATTTTACTGCCATTATATTTTTAGATACACGTTGCACTAAAGGACCAGAAGTTTCTGTAGCTAATAACCAAATTTCTTGCTTCATTTCATTATTTACATTTAAAGATGATAGAATAGAATTCCTTAAAGTTAATGGCTGTGCTTCTGCATAACATCTTAAAGCTGCCTGTATATGTTGACATGCAGTGATAGGCACATCGGATGAATTTTTTTCCTATAAAAAAAATATTAAAATTTTTATAACATAAAAGTCATTAATGTTAATATTTATCTTATTCCAATAATATAGAGATTAATTTTTAATTTTATAAAACTTACATGACATTTAAGGACACTAGTATCAAAACTTCTTTCACAACTATCAACAAAACACAATGCAGTGGATTGTGAAATAAGTGTTGTCATTTCATTAGAAATTGTGGCATTTATTAATGGTAATTGAACAAATCCACGATAATCTGGACCTTTATCTCGAACTCTTACAGAAAAAACTTGAGCAGTTGTGCCCGTAATAAGTTTACATGCTTCAGTTGACAATTTTCTTTTTTCACCAGGTTCTTTAAATACTGCATCACAGTATTTGTTTTTACAACATAAACCACGAGATCCATTATAAGTTCCACATTTTGGACATTTACGAATTCCACGTAATGTAGCTTTACCTAAGTCAGAGAGTAGCTTCCTCAAACGCTCCTCATTAGACATAGCTAAATAATATTATTTTTAATTAGTAATACAGAGAATTAAATTTTTTTATGGAACAAAATATATTTAAAATAGATTATTATTATGAATGTTTAGATATTTAATCATAAAAATTGTTATGAGTTTAAATATTTCTGTATTATTATAATTATCATATTATAATTATCATATAATTTTAAAAAGAATGTTCAAAATAACAAAACTATGAAAATTATTTTATAATATTATTATATTGTAAAATATAGATTGAAACTATATGTGAAATTTATATTTATTTGTGTTCTAAAATTATTATGTATAAACAATTATTAATTTTAAAATATAAATTTGTAAAAATATTGAAAAGAAAAGTTAAATAACATTTACATTTTCAAATTAAAGAAATAATACATAAGAAAATATTTTCACTAAACATTCAAATATTGTTTTTCATGACACATTTTTCAAATTCTAATTTTTTCGATTAGAAATATAGATTTTATCTGCTCTTACTTTTTACTTTCAGAATTAATAATTATAACAAGAAGTAAAAATTATATGATTTTCACTGATAATTATGTTATAACAAAGTTTATTTTGATAGTAAATAAATAAAGCTCATCTCAATATTGATACAAGATTCTTAGTATTTGCGACAGAGGGCATTTCTCTCTACACGATGTTAACTTAAATTCACAGAATTAAATTGTTTAATTATTATTATTTTTATTTTATAACATTATTATAAAATAATGATTATAATCTTTTTAATTTTTTTATAATTCATTTCTTTTTTTATAATTCTTTAAAATAATTGTAAAAAGTTATTATTTTCTTAATATTTAAAATATTCTCGATATTTCTTTTTCATTATTTAATTGAATATATATATTCAAACAAATAAAATAAAAATATTTTTTAAAAAATATATCATAAATTACATATATATGAAAAAATATTTTTATAATTACATATTCCATTAAAAATCTAAAAATTTATTTTTTTATTTTTTATTTATTTAAGTAAAACTAATTAACTGTCTAATATATTAATTAAAATAAATTATTTTTCTCAATTTTATAATATTATATAACTTTTTAATAAAAAAATAAAAGTCTAAAATTAAATACACTAAATCTTAAATGTCAAAACTTCACTTACGTTTATCTATTTGGTATCAAATCACATAGTTATATTTTATAAAATTTGATATCAAATGTAGAATATTTTTAGCAATCAGATTAATAAAAAATAAGATTAATAACGGGAATACTTTTATAAAAAATGATGGAAAAATAATTATTGAAATGTAATAAACATAATGATATAGTGAAAAATAAATATGATTCATTTAACCTCTAAATATGAAACTCGATAATAATGAAAATAATTTAACGAACTATTTTAAAAAAATAATTTTTAAAAGAATAATAATTGAATGGTATCTATTAAAATATTTATTTATTTCAAACGATTGATATTTTTTTTTTATTTTTAATATCAGATTTTAAACTTTCAATATAATTATTTATATTTATAATTATAAATAATATAATTATATAGTGATAATTATTAAATTTACGTATTATTTATTCATAATAATTTTTTGAAATTATGTATTAAATTTGTCTATATTTTAATTATATTTATAAATATATTAATATAATTTTCAAAAGATAAATTTATTATTTGTATTAAATTTATTAATTGTATTAGAAAAACAAAATAAATATGAAGGCAGAAAACGAAATTTTATTAAATAATGTAAATATATTTTTGCTCTTATAATAACATTCGATTTAAAATATATATTTACAATATAGCACATTGTTATAAATTAATAATATAGCACAAAACAATATTATTTTAAGAATTTGCTATATATATTCTAATATATTAATTAATAAATATATGATATTATGAATTTATTTATTGAATAGAAAATACTAATATTACCAGATAATATATATGATCATTTTTCATAAAAAAATGAATTATTTATTTTATTACAAATATATTTTTTTTTTTAATTTTCACCTTTATCAAAGGATATAATTTACACATACACACACACACACACACACACACACACACACACACACACATACATATATATATACACATAAAATTAGATCAATCTTTAATTCTTTAAAATAAATTTAGATAATATGTCAAAACGAAATACTTCTTTTAATTTAAATATAATTCACTTTATGTAAAATTTATTTATTTTTTTATTATTAACTTGTTAATAAGAAATGTTAATATTTCTATATACAGTTAGTCACACAGAAGTTTTCATTCACTTTACATAAATTCAATTAAATTTATATTATCAACAATAATTTTGTTTTATATGAAATATTGTGAATATAATATGAAACTATTTTTTTATCATGGAATATCATTTCAAAGCAATGAAATCAATTTCTGAAGTTTCAATATTATTTTTGTTTCTTTAAATAATTTCATCTCATAATAATTCAAGATAAAACAAAATTTTAAATTATAAAATGTTTAATGCTCTATTATCAAATAGTAAAAAATATTTCCAGAAGAAATTGTGTAACGAAAAAAGAGTTGATTTCATATATTCAAAGAAATTTTTTATCAAAAAATAAATTATTCTATATATAACCCATTGTTTTATATAAGTTTTCGTTAAAATCAAATTTTTCATAATAATTGAATTTCTTTATAAGATAGTATATAAAAATTCTTGCGACTGATTATATATTAAATTACAAATAAGACCTCGATTAATCAAACTAATAACAGTAATATCAATAGTCTATGTATATAATGTAGTTTTAAATAATTGAATAATTTATATTATTGCGTTTTATGTGAAATATGACAGTTTTACTATATATTACTCATTATTACATGTATTTGTTTCAATCAGTTTTTTTAGTCTTTTGATCTCTTTTCCTTCTAAGTTATCAAATTATTTTTCAAATTGTTAGTTCTATATTATTTATATTTATTATATTATTTATATATATTTTTTTTCTTTTTTTTTTTTTTTTTCTTTTAAATAGAATACTTCTAAATGCATAGAATACTGCTGTTTTTCCTACACTCTAAATTAATTTTTAACGTTGTAAATAATATTTTTAATTATAAATAAATTTTGCTCTTTTATTAATGCTTATTTTAAATGTAGAACAAGAATAAAAGTTCGATTCTGTCTTTTAATTTTGTAACAAAAAGAGAAAAATGAAGGTAACCAAATGGATGTTCAGGTGAAGCCTTGCATTTTACTGCCATTATATTTTTAGATACACGTTGTATTAAAAGACCAAAAGCTAATAATCAAATTTCATTTCATTATTTACATTAAAGATGATAGAATAGAATTCCTTAAAGTTAATGGCTGTTTTCCTTAAAGTTAATGCTTTTGCATAACAGCTTATGATTGTCTGTATATGTTAACATGCAATCATAATTATAGGTATCTTGTGAGTGCTCGATGTTGGAATCGTCAACACTTTTGAGCTTTTGAATTTATTCGCCTAAAGTTATTAGAATCAACTCTAAAACTGAAAAAATAAGCTTGGATTTATAATATAATAAGATAAGCTAGCGATTACGCGAATATGAAATTTATCTTAAAATAATGCAATGTTCGAATTTGTTTTGTTGGCTTGACGTCAAGTTTGTTTTGTTGTCTTTATACTTAAAATATAATTGTATGAATTATATTAATAAATATTTTTTTAATACTTTTTCTTTTTTGTGGTTAGATATAAATTATAACGTGCTATTTTAAAACATTAAATAGTTGAAAAAATTTTTTCAAATTGACTTCAAATTATCGATCAATCAATCATTATTGGTGTTAATTATCATATGAATATGATAAAATAAGTAGAATTAACCATGGAATTTAAATATCGTTACTTCAGACTCAATAATTTTTTATTTCATATCATAAAAGTGATCAATGATTTGAGATTAATAAATATATTAATTGTCGATTGCAATTTATAGTAGTATTATAGTAATTGATTTAACTTGAATAAGAATTAAAAATGATCCTGAATCGATGGTAGAGTTAATAAATATATTAATTTTTAATTCCAGATTGTAAAAGTGATCGATTTAAGCTTTTTGATGGACATAAATTCTCGACTCCAATATATGACTGTCGATTACGCGCAGGATGATAAAGTTTCCGATGTCGGTATAGATGCTATCATCGTTTACAATGTCATCGTGGATATTGTGATGCTTCCTGCAATTATAGCAGGATGCACAGATACATCTGATATTCTCTATATAGTACTGGTCAAGAGGAAAATCTGTGGTCTAGTTCTCTATTTTACTTTCTTCGGATCTAATAGAATGTTGGCAAAAGCGATAAATCTGAAATCCAGAAAATACAAATGGATAGTAAATCCATATCGATGGAAAGAAAAATAAAATCGTTTTTCTGGGCACCGGCCAGATATTTTAAAAATTATACGAAATATAATTGTAATTTAATCATCTGCTCTTTTCTTTATATTATCTTTGATTAATTATAGTTCTGTAATATAAATAAATTATTTAAATTAGGGGATCAATATTTGGTCAATCACATAATATAATTTTGAATTATGTGCAAAGTTTATATTGATTTTTATTATATTGATGCGCATTTTTGGTAAATTTTTAAATTTTATGTTAAAAAATCAAAATTTACATATTTCAATAATTAAAAATGTGCAATTGTAAAATTTATATTTATTTTTATTTTTATTGAATGTTTCTACCAAAACAAGCGAGATATTGGAAAATACATTTTTATTTCTTTCAGATCATTCGAATATTTACATGTGGAATATTGATACATCTTTTGTGACAACTTTTTATTATGTATTATTATATTATTATATTATTATATTATTGTATTTATTATATATTTTTATTATATAATTCAAAAATCTAGAAATTGTCGCCTATCAATATTATTCTTAGTTACAGGGATTTAATGTGGATGATTGAAAGCAACTTTCAAGATTACATAGATAACAATATCAGCTGGGACATCGATAGCTGTTCTAATAATAAACTCTAGTAAATAATACTAAAAAATCAGAACTAATATCATTCCACGTTAAATATTTCTCATTAATTGCTTATTAGCCTTTTTAAGTGTTGCATATTAAAAATCAATGTTTTAATTTTTATCCAGAAATAATAAATGTGCAATTGATTAAAATCTCAAACAATAAAAAATTATCGTATAAACTATAGTTGATGCTTGAATGATTAATCTATTAATCTGATTATCATCTAAATTAATCTGATTAATCATGAAGGGAACTCTTTTGAGTACTTTGTATAATTGAATTGCTCTTTGAAAGAAATTGCAGCTAGATAAATATTAAATATAACAAATATTAAAGTCGAATAGAAAACTTCAAAACCATTTTCTGAATAGCTAATTAAAACGAAACGAATCTTACTGTGAAGGAATAATGACGTTTATGCAAAAGAAATAAATATGTCTTTTTAAATACGAATGTATTTATTTTTCAATCAAATTTTTATAATACTTCTCCTTTGAAAATCTAAATTTTTTATCTAAATTATATTAAATTATATTAAATTATATTAAAATTATAAATATTTTAAATATTATTAAAATCAAAAAAAGAAAAAAATTATCACAAAGATGATATATAGTGGCTACAAACAATGTTATAATATATATATGCAATGTTATAATATTTATATGCTAATTAATTAAGTTCAAATATGATAAATTTTAAAATATTATAAAATTTGATAAAAAAAAAATACTTTGTTAAAAAATAAAGATATTGTATCTTTAAAGATAAATACTTTTAGTAATTACTAAATAAATAGAACTTTTTTTTTTAGACACATCCTATATAACTATTAAGAAGAATTTAATATTACATAACAAAACTTAAAATTTAATAAAAAAAATGTAAATAAAAACCATTTTAACCATTTTATAGATAACTTTTAATTCAGATTTATATATATAAATAATTATTATCTTCTAACGTGCAATTCAACATTTAACGATAGTTTAATTTAATAAAGGATTAATTTTATGGATAATTGATGCTAATCTTAAATAACAACAAGATAATATTAGTGCTTTCAGCGAGAATTTCAATACGAATATTTACTTGATATATTAATCATTAAATATGAATTCATTATTATTTATTATTATAATTATATTATATATAATTATATATTCCAATTCTTTTTTTTTTTTTTTTTTACATTAGAAACAACTTTTAATTTCTATGTATTGATATGTTGACTAATTTAATTGATTTTGCGATAACGCATATTTTTTGCTTTCATTTACATTTTTAAAACATTATAGTTCTTATAGTTCTTAACTCTTATTTATAGTTTCAATTCTGATTATTATAATTGTTATAATTTTATTTTATGCTGAATCAATGCTAAGAATGGTACTAAAATATATATTTGTCATTAATATTATAATTTAAGTTTAAGTATAGTTTTATACGTGCTTTAGATTCTAAAAAATTTTTAGTACCTCTCTCAATGTTATTAATTCAGTATAGAATAAAATTATAGACGAGATTATAGACGAGAAAAATAATAGATATGTAATTTTGCAGTATTTTATATTGCAAATATAAAAGTCACATGTTCTTTAATATCTTCAATAAGATTAGAATATTTCTAACATATTACAAATTATGTATATCAAATATGTTTTTTTGAATTTCCTTTATTGATTTCTTTTTTTCATAATAAAATAAAGCTTTAAAAAAAATAGAATCAAATAATAAAAATTAAGAAAAGTACTTCCTAAACTGTAGAATAAGTATGAGAATATTTTATTTTTGTAAATCTTTTAATGAAAAGATTTTATGAAAAGATAATTTATAATAAATTATATGAAAAGATAATCATAAGAATTATATTATTTGAATATATTATATAATTTATAATTACATCACAAATATTAGCTATATATAATCATTATAAATTATATTAAATAATAATGATCTATTCGTTCTTTCTACGTTTAAATTTAATAAATTTTTTAGTTTTATATTTGAAAAACGATTAATATAATAATAACGATAATATTATATTGATTGTAATGTATAAAATAACAATAAAAAAAAGAAAAGAAGACAAAGAAGTAAGCAAGATAAGCATTCTATAAAATACTATGCTATTTTGTAGATATTAATTATCTACTTATATATAAATTATTTTTAATATTTATTTTTAAATATTTAATATTTAAATATTAATTAATAAATATTTAATTAATATCAATAATTTTAAATACTTAATTATATATCAAAACATCATATTATTTTTAATTAATACTGTAGATTATTATTTTAAGATTATATTATTTTTATTTATTTACTTAATTGCACTTAAATTATTTTATTTAATTAATTTTTATCTATCAATTATTACTTGTATATTAATATTCAATTCAAATAACTTATTTAATCAAAAATTAACTTAACTATAAATTTATATATTTGCCTATTAAAAATCTAATGATTCTCATTATTTTTTCGATTCGAATTTTTCATCTTACGACATGAATAACCGGAAGAATCAAAATATATGCAACTTTACACATTACATGTAAAGAATCTGCATTGCATTAATATTATATGCAAAATTAATAGATAACTATAAAAAAAAAATATTTTAATTTAAAAAAACTATACACATATTAATTTAAAGTAAGGAAAGAAAAATCTATGTTTTTCTTTTTAGTAGAAAATAAATAAAAATAATTATTTCTTTGAATGATAGTTGATTATTTTGTTGAGAAAAACACTTGATTCTAATTTCGCGATATTCATTGAAAAATTTAAAAAAGATTTTTACGAAGCAAACACTGATTTACTGATTGTATTGTATATGATCATCAAAATTTTTTGAAAAAGTAAAGTATTAGATGAAATAAAAAAAAAATAGTAATAGTATACGTAATGGTATAAAAAATAGTAATATTATAAAAAATATCAAATTTTACGATATTATCGCAAGAAAACATATTGTCATCTATATTGGAATTTTTCCTAACTTCAAACCTAATCTTAATTAATAATCTGTACAGAAAAAAATCAAATAAAATAATATTAAATACATAAAATAACTAAATATATTAAAATAAAATAATGATCAACAAATTTCATTTTAAAAAGTCAAAATGTAAAATACCCGTAATTATAATCTATTATAATGGTAATTATAATGGTAAAATATAAAATATAAAAAAATATAAAAAATAAAATATATAAAATATAAAATATAAAAAAAAAATAGAATAATTTAATCATATAATTTATGAATTTCTAATTATGATAAGAAACACGTATTACTAACATAGGACAAATAAAAAATTAACAATTATGGAAAAAGTACTACATAGCAGAATCATACAGAATCATCAGAATCATACAGAAATTCTGTTTTTGTAGAAACATGATGCATGTAAATATTATAATTATTGATGTAACAATGACATTTTGTATTGCAATTTCGATTATATTTCGATCGAAATATAAGAATTCGACAGTTCAACAACATTAATAAATCCAAATTTGTTAAGTGTAGCATGAACAAATTTTAATTTTTTAAAAAAATAGTATAGTAAAAAATGTTTCCAATTTTAAGTATGATATAAACAAAGGAAAAAAATACATATATAAACAATATAATTATATCCATTTAGAAATTCAATATATATGTTGCTGAAATAATTTGATAAAATAAAATTTATTACTATGAACTATATATTTATTTTAATTATTATTTTAATTAATTATAAAAAAAAATAAAAATTTATGCCAAATACATCTATATTTATGAAACAAATAAAGTGTAATTACTTAATATAGAAGAAAATTATCATGCTATGTGCATGCTATAAATTATTTCTTCGATTTCCAACAAAATCTAATAATAATTTATATAGATAAAAATCAAAAACTAAAAACAAATGTATATCATGAACATATTAAAATAAACAATAACAATTGAAATCTTGACTGAAAAGTTAATAATATGTGTAATACGAGTAATGCTAATAACCTCAACAATAAAATTGTCGATCGAAGAAAAAAGCATAAAAAAACTCGGAGATTAATTAATTTTATTGTCACAATATTTAATAAAGTCTATAAATTCTACAATAAAATAGGAATAGATAGAATACTTACTACTAATACTAAATATATATACTTATTACTAATACTTATTAATTGAAAGATTTTATTTTATTAATTTATAAATTTTCTTTGATTTTCTGATTGGTAAATGATGCAAATTTAATTTACTTAAGCATGCGAAAAACATTACATTAAAACATTATATAATATAATATTATATAATATAATATTAATTATATAAACATTATATAATATAATATAATATTATAATTTCCTGTACAATTTGAAATTCTATGAATATCCGTTTATGAAAAAATATAATAAGAATTAAGTATAAAAATTAATCAAATTAGAAAGAATTAAAAATGCTAAATATTTTAATAATTAAGATAAAAATTAAAGAAATATATGAAAACTGCATTATAAAAAAGAAAGGAAATACGAAAGATCATTAAATTAGAGAAAATTAGAATGTAGAAAAATAGATTAAAGTGTAATTCTTAGTTTGGTATGTTTTCCAAGAAAAAAAAAATTACTAATGAAAATTATTAAATCTTTTAATAAAATATTTTTCTTTTTTTAAGTAAATTTTGAAAAAAAAACAATTTTGGAAAATAATGCCAATTATCAGATTTCACCACGAGATGACTACACATCGAAACCCATTTAAAGCTAAAAAATTAAATGAAACAAAAATTAAATAAATTAAGAACACATAAATAAAGTACAAAAGATTAAAATTAATAATTAATATAAATGAATTAGAAAAATGTAAAATATTGATAAATAAATAATTGATAAATAAATTATAATTAATAATTAATATTAAATAAATTATAAAAAAAATATAATATTATATAAAACAAAAAAAGTAAAAATAAGAAATAAATAAAAATTAAATAAATCTGAAAAGTCTAAAAAGAAAAATTAATTCGGAATGAAATGATTATTTAAATTAATGTATAATTGCTTTTACAATGATCTTTTACAATAATTAATCGCTCGTTTATTAATCCTACAATGAAGCTTAAGTCTAACTTAATTTATATCTTAATATTATTTACATCTATCTTCTAATTCTATCTAAAGATAAAATTGCAAGTCAATCAAGAATATCAAGAATTGCACTGCTTAGTAAAAAAGAACTCAAAATTTTACGTGCACTCTAGTCTAATAATTGAGAAAAATAATTAATAATGCAAACTTTAAATTGGAGCGCATAATTCTTGGCTTACCATCAATTTCCATAATAAATAATTCATAATAAATGATGAAATATTTTTAAGTTTAAAATATTTCATAAATTTTTTAATGAAATATTTTTTTTTTTATGGACAAAATTTGGAAAAAAGAATTGAAAATTCAAATCTCACCAGCGAGGAGATAACTATATCGAGACTCATATTAAAC